CAAACCTGGCTTTGACTTCCTGGCTGTGTTGCATACCAGTGCCCTGACCTTGGGTGGGTCACAAATCCCCAGTGACCCTCACTTTCCTCATCTGTGAAGTGGAGATAATATCTAGATCACTAATCTCCTTGGAAGGAAGATGGGGCAATCTACTTCCGTAGTGATACTGCCTCAGAAACCCAAGGAGGGTTCGCTATGAGTCGAGTCCAACTCAACTGCACATAACAACACCAATAACAAGATCACTAATACACATTGCTTAGCACACTGCCTGACACTAATTATAAGCAATAAATAGTAGTAGTATTTTTGTTATTATTTATCATTATTTTGGCCAATCAATCCACCCAGCTAACTGGTCTAGAACAAGGCCTAGCTAGCAGTGAATGGGTGACTGACAGCTTTGGAGCTGAGCCCATCTGGGTTCACATTCAGGGTCTGTCATTTGCCAAATTTGGGCTGGTTACTTACTTAACTGCTTTGAGCCTCCTTTCTTATCTTTAAAACGGCTCACAAGATTATTAGAATGTGGACATGCAATCTCAGAAGGTTCACAGACTTCCACAGACATTCTGCATGAGTTAATCCAGCAACTGAATTGATTGATTTGATGAAATTTGATGAGTCACTCAATCAAACACCCCCATACTCTCCCCTTTTCTCACCTCTCCTTTCTTCCCCTCCCCTCTAGATTTTTTCCCACATAATCTCATTTAATATTCACAACAATGCCATGAAGTAGATTTTTCACTCAACTTAATTAGTTAAATATTTACCTAGTGCCTACTTGGAAGGAAGACTGGGCAATCTACTTCTGTACAGATACCATCTCAGAAACCCAAGGAGGGGTTGCTATGAGTCCGATCCAACTCCAATGCAGCGAGTTTGGTTTTCTTTGATACTTTGTCCCAGATGATATTTTAGCCATAGTGATACCTCATGGAGTTTACATAGTGGAGGGGGAGAGAGAGAGAGACCATAAAAACATCAAGCAATAACTAAGATAGTTTCAAATTGTGACAAATGCTGTAACAAAAGTAAGATGAAGAGCTAATGGAAAGCATTTAGGTTACTACCTAGATAGAGTGTATATAAGTTCACAATGTATAAAAGTATCAAATACTTTAACATTTTTACAGTATCTGGTAGATTCTGATCCTCAGTGGGCTGCTTTCCATGGACATTATAGAATGCTGCAGCCTGCCCTCTATAGACAAAGGACCTCAGAGGGTTTCTAAGCCTGATATCCTTATGGCATTAGTGGAAAGATTAATGCAACTTCAAGGCCTCCTGTGAAAGGTGTGGATTCAGAATCTCAGACACCACTCCCTGGAGCTGGCAGTGTCCACTTACATTACTGTATCTGAGGAGGGTGAAGCCAGTCTGTGAAGCCCAAAAGATGCCATCCCTAAGTAAATAATCAACTGAACGTGTTTGAAGGATGTGAAACAAAGATGAATGTAGTGGATTCAGAAAAATGGGCCCATGGGGGAAAAGAGCAGTGGCTACAGCTGTGCAGGACAAAGCTGCCCAGATGGAGGGTTTTAGATCCTGCTTTACAGCAGAACACAGAATCCTCTTTATCAAGGAACTGTTTCCCCTAATAATTGGTGCTAAAACAACAACAACCTACTATATGCTAGTTATTAAAATAAAATATTAAGCCTCACAAAAAATCAGTAAGCTAGACAATTTCAGCAAGTTTAATAACTTGACCAGGAGTTACCACACCCCAGCCTATTCTTTACACCCACTGCAGATGCTGCCTGCTTGGGAAGACAGAGGAGTAGGCGAGCCCAGGTTGTGACTGTGTCACATGGGAAGTCCCCCCACACACACCAGTATCCATCACTTGGCATGCTGTCCAGCCTGCGGCATCTCAACCTATCAAAGGCAAGGGGTCCTTTCTGCTGCTGGCGGCACAGTAGTTGACCGTTTGGAATTTTCATTAGTCTTTCAGTGTTTTAAGTCACCCTTATGTAGCCAGCCTGGGATTGCTCTTTTCCAAAATTAAAGTATCTTTGTTTTTGTTATAATGTTGATCGTACTTCCTGCAAATACTCAAAAAACATAAAAAGCAGAAGAGGAGAACTTCCCTGTGCATCTTTCTCCCCCAGTATACCCATAAGCATGCCTTCTGGGCAGAGGGGCTCTGTGATGCTGGTAAGAGAGCTAGTGAGTCCCCCTCGGGTTTTCAGGTGACACTCTGGGTTGTCCTTAAGGTTAATAATAATTCATTCCATTTTCAACAAACCTTCATTGTGTGTCACCTCTGTGCTCAGTGTTGCTGATCCAAGATGGGGCAAAACAACCTTTGACTTTAGGAACTCATTCCAGTTTTGAACACCCTATGTAAAAAAAGGAGCTCTGGTAGCATAGTGCCTAAGGCACTTGACTGCTAACCAGAAGGCTGGCGGTTCAAACCCACCAGCCACTCCTCAGAAGGAAGGTTGGGCAATCTACTTCCATAGTGATACTGCCTCGGCAACCCAAGGAGGGGTCGCTATGAGTCGGGTCCAACTCAACGGCACATAACAACATAACAACAACATGTACACTCCGGTGATCAGAGAATAGCATATACATAATTAAATGCTCATCAGGGAAACCAGAAACTTAAACCCAAGAGTCTATTCCAACTCATAGTGACCCAATAGGACAAGTATAAATAGTTCTTCACCTTCCAGGTAAACCTGGCTCAGGCTGACATAGACGGGGGAGGGGCACTGTCCCCAGGACTCCCTGGCCATGTGTGGGCCAGGGAAGGGACTGCATGCACGTGCATGTTTCTCTTCATCCTAGTTGTTGAGATCTCCCTGGGCAACATGTGCAAAATGTTCCATGTGTCCCGAGTACATGCCAGGACAGTTAGTCAGCAATTCTGCTTCAAGAACCAGCCTGTATTCTATTACACCAGTGTTTGCCTGCTCACCACATTTTCAAAAGGCAAGGAAATGAAGAGATCATTCCATGGACAAGCATTTGCTGTGTGGTGGAGGGAGACTTCCAGGGGGAGGTAGAGCTGGGACTAGGATCCAAGACTCCTTACGACCAGTTTGGTGTGGATGCTTGGATGCTTGAGTGTTAGGGCACCAAGGGGTGGTCATTAATCTTGTATGACTTTTTACTTCGTGCTGATTACATTGCTTGGATGGTGGTGGGCAACAGAGATTTGAAGGCTGGCAAGTCAGTAGCTGCACTTAATAAACACTAGTCAGTGGCAAGATGGATGGATAAATTGACAACTTTTTACAACTTGAAAAGGGCCAGTTGCTCAGGGAACTCTGGGGGAGGCACCAAGCCAAGGGCTGGTGGGAGGTAGGGAGGGCTTCCCAGCACAGGGAGTGAGTGCTCATTTGAAGAAACAATTTACATGCAGTTTGTTTTCTAGAGTTAGGACCTGGAAAAGAGACCACTGGGCTTCCTTGTTTGGGGTGAGAGGTCAAACCAGGAGTATTGCATTTCTGGAGATCTGGCTGTGATCCAATCTATTTCATCTAATTCAACGAGATATACAGTTAAATATATCTGGGAAAGCCCAAACCTGTGTAAGGTGGAAACCTGTCAGAGAAGGCGAACTCAAATATTTTCCAGTAAAGTGAATGATGGAAAAGTGGTAAGTCTACACCTTCTCAAGGGCAGAAAATGGGAGACTGGGAAAAACCAGGCAGCCTGCTGAGTTCTGAGTGGCACAGGTTTCACTGGAATCAACGTCAACATTTTAAGTTAAGACTCAAACAAACAAACAAACAAACCCACTGCCATGGACTTGATTCCGACTCATAGTGACCTCCTTTGGGTTTACAAGGCGGTAAATCTTTATAGAAGTAGATTGCCCAGTATTCCTTCTGTGGAGTGGCTGGTGGGTTTAAACCACAAATCTTCTGGTTAGTAGTCAGATCCCTTAGGCACTACACCACCAGAGCTCAGTTAGGACTAGTTGCTCTTTTTTTGTAGTAACAACAACGAAAACTTCACTGCCCTTGAGTGGGATCCGACTCACAGCGACCTCTCCTTGGGTTTCTGAGGCAGTATCACTATGAAAGTAGATTGCCCTCATCTTCCTTCCCAGGAGTGTATGATGGGTTTGAACTTCCAGCCTGCTGGTTAGCAGTCAAATGCCTTTGGCACTATGCTACTAGCTCTTCCATGGTAGTAACAGTAGTAGTAAAATGAGACACATGGGCTATTATTGCCATCATGGGGCCAAGTTGTTTGACTTTAGATAAATTCTTTTCTCGAAGACTCAATTCCTCAACCTGTTCAGAGGCGTGGCTCACTCTGGACGTAAACTTTAAACCCAACCTATTGCGGTAGAGTTGCTTTTGACTCACAGTGACCCTATAGTATAGAGTAGAACCGCCATATAGGATTTCCAAGGTTGTAAATCTTTCTCCCGTGGAGCGGCTGATGGGTTCTAACCGACCAAACCGCCCACCTTTCGGTTAGCTGCTGGAGCTTAACCACTGCGCTACCATGGCTCGGGACCTAGACTACTGCACTTAGATCCCCTTTTTGGCTTCAACTCTTCCCTGTTACTAATTTTGTTCTCTCCGATCCTCAATTTCCTCATCTATGAAGTGGGGATAATGTAACTGTTCAATTTATGTTGAAGCTGACATTAAGATATCCAGCTGCTGGTGCACAGTGCTTAAGTTAGGGTGGTCGCTCTCATTGACCAGCGCTGATTGGCTCTAGTCCGGAGGGCCGCCCGGCGAGGTTGGTTAGGGCGTGGCTCACAGCCCGAGCGGGGCGTGGTGCTGTGCGATTTACTAGGCCGGTATCTGGCTTGGGACCCTTAGTCCGTCCGGGACTGCACACGGGGAGGATCGACCCAGCCTAAGGCTTCGCGCACCAAGAACCAGAATCGGGTCTGCCCAGCGGCCACTAGCTGCAAGCCCGCGTTGCCCAACTGAGCCGCCTCCGGCTAGCGGCGCGCGTGCACGGGCGCCCCCGCGTCCTGGGGCGGGGCCTGCGGCCAGCCGGCCCCCGCGCCCCCAGTCCCCCGGCCGAGCCCCGGAAGGGGTCAGTCGCGCTTCCGTCTCCGCCTGGGATGCACGGAGGGCGGAGCCGAGGCCCGAGGACGCAACGCGAGCCCAGTTCCGGCGAGGAGGCCGCGCCAGTGACAGCGATGGCGGCGGAGTCGGCGCTCCAAGTTGTGGAGAAGCTGCAGGCGCGCCTGGCCGCGAACCCAGACCCCAAGAAGGTGAGCTGGTGGGCTGCGCGGAGCGGGGCGGGCGTTGGCTGGCGCGGGCCATGTAACGGTCGCGGGCCCAGCTGGGGTCTCCGGGGGTCGGTGCAGCCGGGGCCGGGGGACTCGGACCCTGGGCCAGGCCTGCGGGGCTCGCGGACTCAGGTCGGGAAGTTGGCGGCCGATTGGGCGCTTCCTACGTGGGGGACCCCGCGGTGTCAGGCTCCCCGCTCGGCGGCTGCAGGCCCCTCTCCCTCCTCCGGGTGTCCGGGACCGGGCGCCCGCGGCTCCCGACGGCGAGGGGCGCGCTCGGCAGGCACCGCGTGCCCGGGCTGCCTCCCGCCGGGCCGGCGGGCTCCGGGAGCCGCTCCCCTCGGCGCCCCGAGCCAGCTGTTTCCTGTTGGGATGGCTCGCCGAGGGCCGGGAAGGACGATCGCCTCGGAATTCACTGCTGCCAGGTCCCAGTTCTGCGCTGCGTGCTTAGCGCCATTCCTCTCGCCGCGCAATGTCCCTGTATTCTTAGTGTCTTTAGGTGCTTGTCCGGAGAGGATGGCACAGCCTGTACACAATAGAGTCTACGCTTGGAGTGTGAGTGGTTCTGCGTCTCTAAGAAGCGTTTCAGTTGCTCTCCAGCTTGATAGTACAGTACTGACCTTTCCGTTTTCTCAGTGAACCCTTCAAAACAAAATACTCAGTTTGCTCATAGAAACTTAGATTGAAATTGGGAAGAAGAAGAAAAAATAAAGATTAGGAATTGCCCCCAAGATTTCCATCTGGCCATGACAAAAAGGCCAGAGTGATGGGCAAACATTTTTATTGGTATCCAGCTGGGAGCATTCCTTTCTCTCTCTGTTACCCAGCTTTTTGGTTGTCTCTGGGATAGTGTCTGGTGGATGTTAGCATTTTTCCCTTGAGGTATTTGTAAGCATTCTAGTTAGGGTGTACCGGTACCCGAGAGTTGAATCTCTGAGCCCCGGAGCCCCGTTCAAAGAGGAAGTAATGGAGTGAGGCAGTTGAGATAAAGTGGAGGAGAGGTTTGGGTTCTAATCCGTTTACCAGCAATAGCTGTTGGGGGAAGTTCTCTTTACTGAGCCCTTTTCATCACCTGCTTGGATGCTTTCTAGGACCAAACTAAAAGCTGTACAGAGCCAGGCTCAGAGGAAGTGCTCAGTGGCTATTAATCGCTACTCTTGAAAGAGTCCCTTTCTCTTCACCTTGTTCCTAGCCCCTCATCTCTCTGTCGTCAAGTTGATTCTGACTCAGAGGGACCCCCATTGGCTTTCCTAGGCTGTAGATCTTTATGGACGCAGACTACCTCATCTTTCTTCTGTGGAGTGGCTGGTGGGTTTGGACTATACCGGCTTTTTTTGGTTAGCAGCCAGATTGCCTTAACTACCATACAACCAGAGCACCTTCCTAGCCTCTCAGAGGAGAGGTTTTCTCCATTTCCAAAGGCAGTCAACAGCTTCTTATCATCAGGCCACTTTTTAACTCTTTCCACTTCTTCAGAAAGCCATTTTAGTTTTAAATCTGCGAAAATTGAAATGCTTTCAATTGTGTTGAGCTCTGTTTTCTATGGCAGCTTTAGTACCTGGTAGCCAGGCATATTTACAAGTTTTCTTTTACAGTTATCTTTTGTGGATATGCTAGTAAATGCTCTTTATTTCTGAGTACTAGTTTGTTTTCTTAAACACTGTAAAATTTATGACTGATTTTTAAAACCACAAAGCAATATATGTAACCACCCCCCATTTGGTCTTTATTTCATCAGTCATGTTTCCATTAGTATTTACATTTTGAAGCTCCTCTAGTAGTTGGTGTTTATGAAATACCAAATAAGCAAAATGTTTGTTTGGTTTCCCACCCTACTAGAACTATTAGTGATTTTGTGAGCATTTGGACTTTCTCTTCCTAGGTAGAAAAAGCACCCTGAACTTCTGGCTTTGCATTGTGAAGTGAGCATTATGAAGATGACAAAATGTGGGGAGATCATTTTTACAGAGGACATAGTAGTTGGCATTCAGAAATGCGCTAACTGCAGAGGGAAAATTGCAAGCTAGCACACTGGCTGCCTTCTCAACCTTGCGTTAATGCAACAAGCTCCCACAGGTTGTTCCTGAAATCGTAAGATGATTATATAGCAAGCAGTATTGAATTTGGAACACGATTTCGATTTCAGCCCATTTTTAGCCAAAGGGTTGATTCTATGCTGAAGTTGATGGATTTTTCTGGTCTTAAACACTGGTGTTTTAATTGTAACTCAGTTTTCACTTTAAGTCTGTCTTAGCTTTCTGGAAGGTGCTCCGGTGGTGCAGTGGTTAAGGCATTTGGCAGCTAACTAGAAAGGTCGGCAGTTCAGACCCACCAGCTGCTCTGGGGAGAAAGATGAGGCAGTCTGCTTCTGTAAAGATTTACAGCCTTGGAAACGCTATGGGGCACTTTCATTCTGTCCTGTAGGGTTGCTAGGAGTCGGTATCAGCTTGATGGCAGTGGGTTTGGTTTTGGTTTGGGTAGTTCTCTAGTGCTGCTGTAACACAGATACCACACGTGGATGGCTTTAACAAACAAATTTATTCTCTCATAGTTTAGAAGGCTAGAAGTCCAAATAGGGGAAGCCTTGGGGGAAGGTCCTAATTTCCTTTTCAACATATGTGGGCCTGATATTCCTTGGAGATCTCCATGTGTCTTGGCATTAATCTTCCTCTGGGTCTAGGAGCTCTGGTGGTATAGTGCTAAGGCACTTGACTGCTAACCAGAAGGCTGGTGGTTCAAACTCACCAGCCACTCCTTGGAAGGAAGATTGGGCAATCTACTTCAGTAGTGATAATGCCTCTGAAACCCGAGGAGGGGTCACTGTGAGTCAGAGTTGACTCCACGGCAGTGAGTTTGGTTTTTTTGTTTTTTTGGGGGGTTTAGGAGGTTCTCAAAGCAGGGACCCCGGGTCCAAAGCATGTGCTCTGCTCCAGGCTCTTCTTTCTTGGTGGTAGTCAGGGCCCTCTGATCTCTGCTTGCTTGTTTAATCTCTTTTATATCTCAAAAGAGATATAAAAAAAAAAAAAAAAAATCAAAAGAGACCAAAAGGGGAGCATTTGCCAGAAAACAAAGCTCAGAAGGCAGGAAGGGGCAGAGATAATTTTATCAGATCTTAAAATGGAGCATAATTATACTGAGACTTGTGGCCTAGTCAAGTGACACATAATTTAGGGGGACAAAATTCAATCCATAGCAAAGTCCATCTGTGATCTAGGATTACCTGGGGAGAAGGTTTTAGGTTGACTAAGGCCACTTGGGTTCTGTTCCTACTATTTAATTGGAGACCATTTTCATAAGTTGGGTCTGACTCCATGGCAGTGTGTTTTTTTTTTTTCCCTTCTTCTTTTTGGGTATAGTAAGGAATCAGTACATTTAAAGTGTGATACATTTTGAATACTAACAAGACAACACAATTTGGTAGCAGGTAGAGAGCTGGTTGTCAACATTATGAAGGGCTCTTGCTGTAGGTTGAAGTTGTGTGCAAGGAACAGCTGAGATTCTGAGCTTGGACTGTGCCATGTTTGACATTTCTCATCTGTCTGTTATCAGTTCTTGAAAGCTCTTGTAGTTGGGCATTTGGTTTGTTAACAGCAAGTTTACCTAGAGAGGCTCAAAGTACTTTCACCTTGTTACTGCGCTTTCTTTCTTGGAATTCATGGAAAGGGAGTCTTTTTGCTCTTGCATTTGGCCAAATGAGCTTGAAAATCTTGAGAGTTTTAGTTTTGTGTGTTTTTAAATCACCCCTCCTAACCCAAAGTGAAACAGAAAGGCAACATTCAATTCTGCAATCAGTGCTAGGCTTCAAGATAAACACCGGCAGTGACTTCTGGCCTCGTCCTGTATTTTGGCTTGGTCGGTCCTGGGACTCTTCGTTCCCATGGTGAACTCTTTTACTATGTGGCCTCCAACCTGTGTGACAGTGTGATACTGAGGAAGAGCTGTTTCACTTAGTTCTGAGTGTGTTAAGACTCAGGAGCTACCGCTCCCCTTTCTTTTCCCCATTTCCTAAGGCTAGTGCTGTTACGTTGGATGCGCCTCCTGGCTTTGTAGGTCATGCCATGGATAGACACACTTTGCTTACTCACTTAGGCCATATTGCCTAACCCACTGGCCTCAGTTTCTGTATCTGTAAAATGAGAAGAATAATACCTACTTCATAGGGCTGTAATAAGGATGAAACAAGGTAGCACACATAAGCACTTATCGTGGTAGGTGACACACAGTAGATGGATAGAAATGTTCCCAGCCTTCCCCTTCCCGAGAATGGCATTTGGGAAAAACAACCTGTTTGGAGTCTTTTCAGTGATTCTAAATATTCCTTTAAGAAAAGGAAATGGCATTAATGTTTGTACCCATAGCTTGGGTGACATGAAATAATATACCTAAAACTTGTCCTGATTTACATGATGGTAGTGGTCAAGTTTAAAGTGGAAGATAATTTTTTATCTTGCTTGTTCTGAAACAAGATTCTCATTTGTCATCTTACCGTTCTGCCCAGCAACCATATTAAGTAATTATTTGAGTAGAATGGCCAGAAAAACATACTCCACCTAATAGCAGCAGTATGGCTTACTAATTATAGTCTGCATGGCAGAAGAATAGATCTTATTATCTAATATTTAAATGTAAAGGTAGTCACAGTTATCCATTTTGATCTAACTAACAGTACTTTGCAGCAGTCTTCTAGGTATACATAAACATTCCCTAGAGAAAGGCAAAGCCAATCATGATTTCTGGTAGAAATAGATTAAGTGGAATTGGCTAAGGGATATTCATTTGAAGATCCAGGGTAGAATATTTAAAGAGCTATCAGCTGATGAATGAAATGATTAACAATAAGCATGTATTGAGCATTTAAATGCATTCCAGACACTGGGGCTCAGGACATTGTCTCAGTGAATCCTCACAGCTAGTGAAATCGAGACAGGACCCAGTCCCTGTTTGCAGGGCAGCTAACTGAGGCTTGGAGAGGTTACTGAGTTACACAAGATCACCCAGCAAAGAAGTGATGGAGCTGAACTGAGGCCCACCTCTGTCTCTGGAATGCCATCTTAACAGCTCTTCTTTACCAATTATGACCTAGTTTTAGGGACTAGAGGAAGGAAATGTGGCCAAACTCAGATCACTTTTCTAATTTACCCGAACATTTTATGTTTAATCATTTAACAACAAAACTCTGATTCTGGCAACTTGAAATGCTCCTGGCTTCCTATTTGTATGGAGAAGCAGTTCTCCTTAGCACTGTGAGTCTTTCTGGATCCAAACATGATATCCTTTTCCTGTGGAGACTTCTCCCCTTATTACTTCTTTCTGTACCAGACCCGTGAGTAATTTTTGTAAAATTAGTACCTTTCTCATAAATTCAGTGACAAAACTGGGGCAAACAACTGTTGATGACTTTTATTACAGTTGGTGGGTTTTGATTCTCTTCTAAGACTTACTTCCTCTTGATGTAGCATAGTGGTGGAATGCACAGGATCTAAAGAGTGAAACAGTAACACGCGTAAGCACTTATCCTGACTCCTGCCCCACTTGCAGTTTGGGGCAAGTGACTGAACTTTTTTGAGCTGTTTTCTCATTTGTAAAATAAGGACAGTAACAGTGCTTAAGCCCGACTAAGCACTCAACTGTAAAATACTACTGTGCTTCAATGAATGTGATTATACTTTTATAGAAAATTAATGTTTGATGTTTTATTCTCTCTGCAGCTCTTGAAATATTTGAAGAAACTCTCCACTTTGCCTATTACAGTAGACATTCTTGCGGTAAGAGTTATATAACTTTTAATGTTATACTATTTCCTATCCCCATCCCATGGGGAGAGATGTAGGGTAAAGATTAAGAGCATAGTCTTTGGAAGTGAGAGAAGCCAGACACAAAAGGCTACATGTTGCATGATTCCAGTTTTATGAAATGGCTCAGAACAGGCAACTCCATAGGCAGAAAGTAGATTAGTGGATGCAGGGGATGGAAGGAAATGGGAGGAAGAGAGTTTCTTTTTGAGGTGTTAGAAGTGCTCTAGAATTAGACAGCAGTGAAAATTACACAATATTGTGAGTGTTCTGGAAATCACTAAATGGTACACTTTGAGATAGTTAAAATGGTGAATTTGTGTTATATGAATCTTATCTCAGTTGTATAAATAAAAAGAGCATGAGCTTTGGCACCAACCAGTTCTGGGTTCAGATCTAAGCTCTGTGGCTTTGTTCTCCTTTGTTAAATAGGGCTGACTCTTGCCTCACAGAGTTATTGTAAAGACTGATTCAGATACTGTATGCAAAGCTCTCATTAGCTCAGTGCCTGCCTGGCAGGTGCCACTCACTCTCTCTTGTTATTACCTTTTAATGAAATGTGTTTCTTCCTTTAAATGTTGTACACTTTGCTACTGTGTCATTGGAGATTTGAGGCAGAGTTACAAAGTATTTTGTACTGAGACTTGTAGAGTATGTTTTACCAGGATGTATTGTTTGTTAAAGGAGCCCTCGGTGGGTGCAGTGGTTAAGTGCTGGGCTGCTAACCAAAAGGTCACTGGTTCAAAACCACCAGCCACTCTGAGAAAGATGTGGCTGTCTGCTTCTGTAAAGATTTACAGCCTTGGAAATCCTATGTGGCTGTTCTATTCTGTCCTTATAGGGTCACTATGAGTCAGAATTGACTCAGCATCACAGAACAACATTGTTTGTTCAGCAATTTGTCAAAGCAGGTAGCTTTATTTCTAAAGAAAACTGTGAGCCTAGTTCTACGAGCCTAATGATTCCTTTGTCAAATTTGTAGGAGACTGGGGTCGGGAAAACAGTCAATAGCTTGCGAAAACATGAGCATGTGGGAAGCTTTGCCCGGGATTTAGTGGCCCAGTGGAAGAAGTTGGTTCCTGTTGAACGGTAAGAGCATTTCTCTGTTTGCTCAACTGTAGGCTTAAATCTGGTGTCTGGCAGTGTTTACATGGAGAGAAGCTTCTCTTTATTATTTCTTTTCTGCCTTCTTATTTAATATACCTATTTTGTCTCAGTTATAAAAATAATTCATGGTATTGTATACTATTAGAAAAAGAATAAGAATGAAAACTTACAATTCTACCATTCAAAGATAAGCATTATAAACATTTTGGTATGTTTATTTCTAACTGCTTTTTAAAAGGCTTTTTTTAAAAAAAAAAAAAACTTTTTATATTGGTTTGGGTAAAAGGTTACAGAGCAAATTAGTTTTCATTCAGCAATGTATTGTTTCATGACATTGGTTGCAATCCCCACAATGTCACAGCACTTTTCCCACTTCCTCCCTGGGTGCCCCCTTTCCATTCCTCCTCCTCTCATGCCCCTTCCTGCCTTCTGAGCTGTGTTTTTGGGTAAATGCTGCCTGTTTGCTCTCCTGTGGTTGGTTGTTCCAAGGAGCACAATCCTCCCTGGGGTTATTGTTCAAACAACTGTTGTTTGGCTGATAGTTGATCTTTGGGGAGTGGGTTCAGTTCCAGGCCTAAAAGGTGTCTAAGGGCCACAGTCTTGGAAGGTCTACCAGTCTCTAACAGACCAGTAAATCTGATCTTTTTTAGGATTTTGGGTTTTGTTCTACATGTTTATTTACTCTCACTTTGTCTAGGACTTTGTATTGCCATCCCAGTCAGAGTGGCCAGTAGTGGTGGCTGGGCACTATCTAGTTCTTCTGTCTCAGGGTCATGAAAGCTGTGCTTTATATGGTCCATTAGGCCTTTGGACCACTTGTTTCCTTGAGTCTTTGATTTTCTTCACTCATTAAAAGTTGTTGACAAACTATGTAAATTTGATACCTCCCTTTTTATGAAATAACCTTAACATGTCCCCATGTTTAAAAAAAAAAAAAAAAAATTCTTTAAGCATTTTTATGTTTACAAGGTAATTGGTCTTTTTTTGTATCCTGTAGTTAAACTAGTCATTTTCCATTATTGAATATTTGAATTTCACAATTTTGAAATCTACTTGGGTATTTATTGTTGAAAATGTATTCAGCAAAACATACGAATTCAGCAGTTTCTACATGTACAATTCAATGACTTCGATTATATTCTTCAAGTTGTGCAAGCATTTTTAAATTGTTCCTCCCCTGTTAAGATAAACTCACTGCCTCCCAAACTTCTATCTGACTTTCTGACTTGCTGTTGTCAGTTTGATCCCATACGGATAGTTCTTTAAATGAGCATAATGCTCGAGGCAGCCAGCCTTTCCTGGTTACTACTTGAGTCTGTCTGAGCATAACCATTTACTTCTTTCCTGAGATACTGTTTCTAACTGTGAGTTCTCGTCATCTCTTTCATGAGCTTAAGATCTATGATCTTGTCCTCTGAACAAGGATTCCACTGAGGTTCATACTTTGTCTATTTTCTCCTCGATTTTTAGGAGCACTGAGCCTGAAGAACAGGACTTTGAGAAGAGTACTTCCCGAAAGCGCCCCAGGGATGTCCTTCAGAAGGAGGAGGGGATGGACGTAGACTACCAAGAAAACTGGAAAGCCTCTGGCAGCCGGTCCTACAGCCCTGACCACAGACAGAAAAAACACAGAAAACTCTTAGAACTTGAGAGACCTCACAAAGTCTCTCACAGTCACGAAAGGCAAGACGAGAGAAAGAGGGGCCACAGAATCTCACCAGCGTATTCTTCAGACCCCGAATCTTCCGATTATGGTCATGTTCAGTCCCCTCCATCTTCTGCCAGTCCTCATCAGGTGTGTGTGGACCACTGCAGATCCCCGGAGGAGGACCACGAGCCCGTTGTTCTACATCAGAAGCCTGGGAAAGGCCACAGTAATGCCTTTCAGGACAGACTGGTGGTCAGTCAAGAACAACACCTGGGTGAACTGCAGAGTAAAGGGGTAGTGAGTCAAAGCAAGGAGCACAAATCTTCTCACAAAGAAAAACGCCTGGCGGATGCCAAGGGAGATGAGAAGTCCTCTGCTCTGAGCAGAGAGAAATCACACAAAGCCATTTCCAGAGAGGAAAACCGAAGGCCACACTCTGGCGACAGCACAAAAGAGAAACCACCCTCTAGTGGTGCCAAGAAAGAGAAGGAGAGAGAGGGCAGCAGCATCAAGAAGAAGTTTTTACCCCCTTTGGAGGTTGCTTCAGACAACCACCTTAAGAAGCCAAAGCACAAGGACTCCGAGAAAACCAAGTCTGACAAAAATAAGCCAAGCTTAGACAGCTTAGACATAGGCAAGGGGGCAGGAGATCTGTTGCCCAAGGTGAAAGAGAAGGTTTCCAACAACGTCAAGACTCAAGAAGGGAAACTAAAAACTTCCCATCTGGACAGAAAGTCAGTGAGCTCCCTCCCTAAAGTGGAGGAGGCCGATGTGGATGATGAATTCGAGCAGCCCACCATGTCTTTTGAGTCATACCTCAGCTATGACCAGCCCCGGAAGAAAAAGAAAAAGACTGTGAAAACTTCAGCCACTGCACTTGGAGAAAAAGGACTTAAAAAAAGTGATTCTAAAAGCGCTAGTAAAAACTTGGACTCAGTTCAGAAATTACCTAAGGTGAACGAAAACAAATCAGAGAAGTTGCAGCCATCTGGAGCTGACTCAGCCAAGCTGAAAAAGGTAACCTCTTGAGCCCCTTGGTGGCCTGGCATCCAGAGCGTCTGGTGCCGCAGCTCACAGGATTCACTTGCCAGTGTTTTGTTGGCTTAGCTTTACGTGTCCTGTTGAATATGGGTTTGCAGTAATTTTTTCTGGGTCTTATTAGCTGCCAGGACAGGTTACCCTCAAGTTACATATTTTCTGAGATGTCCCGTTGTGATGGGCCCACCTGACTTAGGTGTTGTCAGACGTCGCTCCTCCCCTCCTTCAGTCTGGATTGGACTGCAGCTCAGTAAATCCTGTCAGGAACTGGCTGTAGGGAAGCACTGTTCTCCCAGAAGGGGGCGTCTCCATTCACTTCCTGTCTTCTCTGCAGGTCCCCACCGATGCAGTGCCAGTGTTGCCAGACCTCCCATTACCCATGATACAGGCCAATTACCGTCCACTTCCTTCCCTTGAATTTATGTCTACCTTGCAACCAAAGCGAAAAGGTAACTTTTGGTGTCTTTTCTTTTTAAATAGGAAAAAGATTTTAAAAATTCATTCACTGTCACCAAAACAGTCACGTAACATCAGATTTTGGTGCATTTCCTAAGCGCACAGCCTCTGGGTTTTATGGCTTGGGTGTGATGTCCAGCTAATGCTTCTGTAAGTTTGTGAGCATGGGTAATTTTGTAATTTATTTGGCCCTTGGTTTCATAGTCTGTAAAATGGGAGTAATAATGATTTCTGCCTTATAGGAATTATGAAGTGGATTAAAAGTGATGATACCAGTAAAGCTCTCAGCTCTGGGTTTTTCACATATCACAGAATTAAAAAAAAAAAAAAACAACTCACTGCCGTGGAGTTGGATCCAACTCATAGTGACCCCTCCTTGCGACCCCTCCCTGTATTTCCAAGGCAGTATCACTATGGAAATAGATTGCCCCACCTTCCTTCCAAGGAGCAGCTGGTGGGTTTGAACCACCAGCCTTCTGGTTAGCAGTCAAATGCTTTAGGCACTAGCCATGTACAGAATAAGTGCTCGTTAAATTGTAACTGCTGCTGCTGTTGTTACTAGCCCTGTATTCTATACGCAGTACTTATGTGTTTAATCTTTTTTCAATTGTGGTTTGGGTGAAGGTTTACAGAGCAAATTAGTTTGGCATTCAACAATTTATACCAGTTTTGTTTTGTAACATTAGTTGCAGTTCCTTCAGTGTAACAGCACTCTTCTTGCTTCTTCTCTAGGTTCCCCTTTTCCATTCATCCTTCTTTTCTGCCCCTTCTGAGCGTTTTTTGGAGGGGCAAATGATGCCCTTTTGGTCTCATGTGGTTCATTATTCGGAGGAGTGCACTCCTCTTAAGTGTTACTGTTCACTTTATAGGCCTGCCTACCTGTTGTTTGGCTGGAAGATCTCTGGGAGTGGGTTCAGTTCCAGGTTTGAAGGGTGTCTACCAATTAAGAAAGGAAAAAACTCACTGCTCTCAAGTCAGTTTTGACTCAGAGTGACCCCTCCTTGGGTTTCCGAGGTGGTATCACTACAGAAGTAGATTGCCCAACCTTCTGAGGAGTGGCTGGTGGGTTTGAAGCGCCAGCCTTCTGGTTAGCACTCAAATGCCTCAGGCACTGTACTACCAGAGCTCTCAAAGTGTGTCTAAGGATGTGCTTTTTATCTTAAAAAAATAATAATAATCTTTTTTTCATGGACAAGCATATAAGGTGAACATTTACATCAGGTAGATATGTTCCTTAGAATGATCAGTCATAGAACAGAAGGGCAGTATTTGCCCAGGGAGATAGCTTGGGGCAGGAGTGCATAGGAAAGGACACCGGGAAGAGGTAACCATAGGAGGAAGTGGGAAGAGTGCTGTTACATTGTGAGGAATTGCAGTTCATGTCATGAAATAAAATGTGTATGAACTGCTGTATGGAAAATTAATTTGCTCTGTAAACCTTCAGCCAAATCACAATAAATTTTTTTTTTTTTTTACAAAAGTAAAAATAGTCTAGTTTTAATAGCAAAAGAATAGAAGCCACCTATCTATCAGCCAGACTAGCAGTTAGATAAATGATGGTACGTCCATACAGTGGTGTCCTATGCAGCTGTGAAAAATTTGGAAGGTCTTCATATATTGATAGGGAATGATCTCTGAAATAATGTAGGTAAAGAAAGCAGTGTGTATAGTGAGTATACTATTTGGGCAAAAAAAGAAATAAAATACTTATTTCTGCATGGACTCTGGAAGGATACACAAGACACTGGCAGCATTGATTGCCTTTGAGAAAGGGAGCTGGGAGGCTGCAAGTGAGGTGGGAAGGAGAGTTCACTGTGAAGCTTTGTTACCTTGGTGATTGACTTGTCTGTTTCCCTGGCTCTGCAGCACTCTCCTCACCCCAGGAAGAGGAAGAAGCTGGATTTACTGGACGCAGAATGAATTCTAAGATGCAGGTGTATTCTGGTTCCAAGTGTGCCTATCTCCCTAAAATGATGACCTTGCACCAGCAGTGCATTCGAGTACTGAAAAACAACATCGATTGTAAGTCACACACTTCCCTCTTGCTCTCAAGTGCACTGTAGCACGGACAGTGCTGTCACCCTGCGGCTTGGCCACTATTCAACATTTTCACCTTCAATTCTCTGCAGCAATCTTCGAAGTGGGAGGAGTCCCGTATTCTGTACTTGAACCTGTTTTAGAGAGGTGTACGCCTGAGCAGCTCTATCGCATTGAGGAATACAATCACGTGAGTATCCTGTTTGAGTGAGAAGAGGACAGGTTTCTGGCTTGTATCTCTAGAAATAGCCTTGTTTCTGTATATGAGCCACAGCTGAAGGGCAGGCCAGTGATGAGAGCATTTTTCTGAGCATTTTTGGTTTGCATCTGTGCCTTTAAACAAACACATTTTTAACCGCTGCTTCTGGCATCGTAAGTGGGCCTTTTGGGCTAGAATCAAGGTGAAATGCAAAAGGGGTATAAAACACTTGCAGCACTCCCCTGAGTTTGCCTAGTCACAGGGGTCAAAGGAGAATTGTGGCAGCAGAGCCATTGGGATCCAGGCAGGGACAGCACTTGGTATTGGCGCTCAAGTGTCTGGTTATTATATTAGAGCACAGATTGGCTGGGTGTCTCCTAGTGACATCTAGATCGATCCCAAACACCTTATAATAATAGCTGTTTCTTGGTCACAGCCAGCTACCCAGAGGGACCAGGTAGTTGAACCTGTGGGCTCAGGACAATAGTCACAGGGGACATCAAGCTCAATTGGCATAATATGCTACACAAAACATTGTTCCACCTCCTACTTGGGTGAGTAGCAACTGGGATCTTAAAAGCTTGCAAGCAGCCATCTAGATTCAGTGATGGGTCTCTCCTCATCCAGAGCTAAGAAGACTAAAGAAAACCAAAGATTCATGGAAACAATTAGTCCTAGTGACTGGTATACCATGCGATCCTCAGCCTATATGACTATGAGACCAGAAGAACTAGATGGTGCCTGGCTACCACTGTCAATGACTTGGAGGAGGATCTATGTAGGAGATCCTAAATAGAGAGGGAGAACAATGTGGAACAAAACTCAAAATCATTTGGGAAAAAGGGCGGGGGGCAGGTTGCTGGTCTGATAGAGCCTGGTGGAACCCCTGAGACTATGGGCCCTAGCTGCCCTTCATGTGGAATTGAACCCACACCTGTGGCTTCTAGCCAAACAAAAGACAGGCGTGTGAGTTGAACATTTACCTGTGGTAGATACACTCCTAGAGAGAACAAATATGGGAGAAAGAAGGGCTGTGTATGCACAGGGAGACAGCTCGGGGCAGGAGTGCATGAAGGGATGGACAAGGGAGAGGTAACTATGGGGAGGAAGTGGGAAGGGAGCTGTTGCATTGTGGTGAATTGTAGTCAGTGTCGTGAGGTAAATCATATGTGAACTGTATGGAAAGTGAATTTGCTCTGTACATTTTCACCCAAATTACAAATAAATAAATAATAACTGCCTCTAATTCAGAGAGACCGCTCCTTCTCACATGTCCCCCTGCCCATTACTGTTTAGTGTATTGCTGGGGAAATAACTTGGATTTGATGTCATCCCATCTCTACTTTTAATGATTCCTGAAAGCAAAAAGACTGTCTTAAACCAGGTTTTGCACTGTCTCTTCTGCCAGCCCCACGGCCCTCAACAGCAACTAGTATAGTGCCTTACACATCACATTTCTTTTACTATAGTGATTTTTTTTGTTGTTGTTCCCTTAGAACTGTGGTGGTTAAATATTGTACTATAAGGAGCAAAAATTTATTTGAAAACTTGTCACTCCTAGGTGATTAAAGATTGGAAAAGAGATACATAAGAAAGTTTGTATGTAAATGTCTATAAACGATGTCCTGTTCTGGTTCCAGGTATTAATTGAAGAAACAGATCAATTATGGAAAATTCATTGTCATCGAGACTTTAAGGAAGAAAGGCCAGAAGAGTATGAGTCATGGCGGGAGATGTACCTGAGGCTTCAGGATGCCCGAGAGCAGCGGTTAAGATTACTGACAAAGAACATCCGGTCTGCACATGCCAATAAACCCAAAGGTATAGAGAAGGGATATGGTGGGAATAAGGCAAGGACAGCAGGCTGGGGCCTGGCAAAACTGTGCCTGTGCTTTGGTTGACAACAGGATCTTAGTGGGCCCAGCTGATACAGAACTTTTGGTGCCTAAATTTCTCTTGCGTTTGCATAAGTGGGTGTGTTTCTTCTGCCCTTGCTGCTCTGCAGTGGGGTTTTCAAGCCTGACACTCCCTTAGCTTTTGAAGCACTGTCCTTCTTAATAGTGTAGGTTATTTAAATAACAATAGCATCTCTAGTCAGAAAGGCAGGTGATAATCTCTGTATTTCTCCACAGGCCGGCAAGCAAAGATGGCCTTTGTCAACTCTGTGGCCAAGCCACCTCGTGATGTCCGAAGGAGGCAGGAGAAGTTTGGAACTGGAGGACCAGCTGTCATTGACAGAGTCAAGTGAGATTTCTGCCCCTGTGTAGTTTCTGCATGGTCAGGGAGGAGGGCCCCAGAGCTTGTCACCAGCCCTAAAAGGCTAGACTCTTTGGATGTGAAATCACAGCAGTAAAGAGCGTGGCCTCTGGAGACAGGCCCACTCAGCACCTTCCCTCCCTGAGCCTCAGCACCCCTGACTGCAGCGGGGGGTGGATAAGTATTCCTGTCCTCGGGGTGGTCAAGAGGGAACCGAGAACAGGGCCTGTCTTGTGGTAGGGGCTTGGGAAACATTTCTCTTACGCTTGCCCCTTTAAAGAAACAAACTAGCAAAAAATTCTGTGATGACTAAATTATTTAATCTAAGCCACAGCAGCATTTTCAAAATACAGATTTACACATAAACAGTGAAAGGTTAACTGAGATTGTCACTTATTCTGAAAGGCTGGTGCAGTCATCTCTGAGCCACCACCGGAATCGAGGGTCTGCTGGCCAGACAGTGGGCACAAAACAGTCCTCAAACAGGCCAGCTTGATGGCTGTTCTGCTGAGGCCACATTGACTTCACTCATCTCATGACTGACCTGTGTTCCAGGATCAAGCCAGCCCAGGACCTCACAGGAGGCAGCCACGCTTCCTTCAGTGGTGGCAGCAGCAACAGCTTCCACCCCTCCACTGAGGAACCGGCCTACGATGGCCCGAGCACCAGCAGTGCCCACCTGGCGCCAGTAGTCAGCAGTTCCGTTTCCTACGATCCTAGGAAACCAGCTGTGAAGAGTAAGTAACTCAGAGTTCCTGCCCAGATGCTTTAAGACAAGTGTTTGGTCCCCTTCAGTGTCATTGCCACTGTACCCCATGGGTTGTGTAGGATGTAGCAAATGGATAACGTCTTGTACACAGCAAGTCTAAATGTTAAATGTTAGTCCCTCCTTACCTGCGTCCCGGCCAGAGTCCACATGTGCCTTTGAAAGAGGGAACATTCATTCTGGCCCTCTGCTTCTCTCACCTAAACGAAACCTGTTTCTCCAAGCAATATAATTACTTTTAACAGCTAAATGATAGTCTATCTTATTGAGGTTTTATAACCTTACAGCCCTGGCTTCTAAGTCTTTATTTTTTATGTCTAATTGGATCTAGATTTTATTAATTTTATTACATAGACAATCCCCAGTATCTTAAGGGAATGTCTTAATTTAAGAATTAACCTATATTCACTTCAGGGGTCCGTGGGAGGTGGGGTTCCTGGCTTAACCTTTTGCTTTGCTCAGGTTAACCATCTGGGAGGGTAGGCTTCCCTCAACGGGATCTGCATTTAGCTCATTTTAGACTGGTTGCTGCTCTGGACAGGCAGGGCTATTGTTTACTGGTTTGGCTGTCTGTGAGGCCAGGTTAAATTATGGCTGAATATGGCCTTTAGAGTCTGGCAGGGACGGAATTTCCAGTTCTGCCACTTCCTGTATAACCGTGGGCAAACTCTCTGCACCTTGGTGCACTTGTTGGAACTGCTGGGTAGGTGCTCATTGTTAGCTGTGTGCCAATGTTTTTATTGTTGCCCTTTATGTATCCTTGTTGTTAGCAGAGAGTTATCAACTGGTATCCATTGGTCCAGTAATGCCAAGCCCAGAGCAGTAAGCCTCTTGTAAACCATGAACTGTCTGAGTTGTTGAGGATTAGAAACATCTGCCTCATTTTTCTTTTTCACAGAAATCGCCCCGATGATGGCCAAGACAATTAAAGCTTTCAAGAACCGGTTCTCCCGACGATGAACTGAAAAATTCCTGAGAGACGGAATTTGGGGGGTAGGAATACAAGGGCAGTAGGGGCTGGGGAGTGGAACTTCCCAAGGAGACCCGAATCTTTTGTTCTGTGGAACCCTTTGGTCTCAGATCCTGCAGTTTTCAGGTGTTGCACCTGTGAACCTGCATGCCACAGCCACTGCCTCCCTGCCTGGAGGACACTTCAGAATTCTGAAGAAGATGGGAAACCTCGCTCTCACTGAGGATTTTAAGGTCAATTATACTTTTGTTGTTAACTAGCCTCTTTGTAAAGAATAAGACATAGTTTTAATTAATAAATATGGTTCCCCAGATTGTATTTATATTACCCCAGTTTTTTTTTTTTTTTTCCCCCTGAGGGGGGTTCCTCTACCACACACTTAGCCATTTACTTACAGTCCTTTATTAAATTTAGGACAAAAGCCTGGTGAAAGCCATTCCCCGTCTCAGTTCAGCTCTCCCAAGTGGACTCTGGTCCAGAGGGGGAGCTGGGCACCCTGAGCCTGCATGCTCACACCTGCTGCAGTGTGCAGAGGACCGAGGCCAGCACTGCCCTGGAGGGGAGCAGGGTGTGGTGTGCTGGACTCCTAGCCTCAGAGGCCCTTCTCAGTGTTGCTTTGAGTTCCTGTGCAGGTGCATCTCTTTCTTACTCATCAACTAGTATTTATTAAGAGAGGTTATTTGTAATGATCAAGAGTCTTTGCACCTTCCTCTTTGCCAGGTACCAATTTTTTTTGTTTGTTTGTTTTTGTTTTTGGAGGCTGACGGGAGGACACAGAACCTATGGGAGACTGATTTGCACAGAACACCAGAATTTTTACAATTTCCAGTTTTGGCCTCAAAATTTTAGTTTTTTTTTCCCCCCTTCCCTGGTCGTCTTTCTCCCCATTAGCATGGGGAAAAAAAACAGACACATGGCAGGGCTTCTTCTGGCCCCAAATAAGACTTTAGAGTTTTAAAAGCCAATACTTTCATTTCTTATTCCACATGAATTAATTGCTACCAGAAGTGAATGGTTTTAAAAATTCTAACGTTCTGTTGGAAATTAGTTTTGCTTTTGCCTTATTTTAAAAAGATCATGTGATTTGAAGAGCACAACAGTTTGCTGTTTATCAGACAGCTGAAGTACTCTCTACCCTTTGAGCACTGAAGCCCAGTTTAGAAGGAAGGGCCAACATGGGGAAAGTGTTGGAGTTACAGCGTCCATCTTGGGTGGAAACCACAAGGCCATCATGTTTGTGAGGGGAGACTCTCACTCCCACTTGCCACAGGAGTGAGCTCAGGATAAGGAGGGCAGTGCCAGTGCCTGCCTTGAATGTTGAAGAACTTGGGTCCAGTGGGAATCCACACAGTTGTGACCCAGGTTGGAGTAAGTGCTATTAATTTGAGAGTCCTACCCTTAGAAATGAGAGAGGCCGACTGAGGCATGATTAGCATGACAGTCTGAGAAGCTTTGCAGTCAGTCCTTCAAACTAGCTTTCTTAAAGCTTAGAGTATGGCCCCCCCATTTTTAAACATCGTGCAGGCCCCAGATAGGTTGACCTTGAAGATTCTAGAGCAGTGCAGTAAGTTTCTGAAGGCGCCAGAGCTCCACACTGTTCCATGGGTGTCGCTGTGCAGAGTGCCTGCTGCAGCAGGACACAGATTGCCTGTTTCAATTTGCTGGGTGTTTTTTTTTTTTTTTTTTTTTCCAATTGGGTAAAGCATCATTTCTCTTGATCCCTTATATTACCATTCCACCCTTGTCCCATAGCTCCAAATCTGCTGTTAGGAAGCTTCTTACCTGAAACCAGATGAAAATCTGGGTCTGGTACAGACATTGTTGCCTAGAATAGCTTCCTCTGTGGTTGCTCCTCCCCCCCTCATTGAATCTGTCTTTTAGCTGTGTGTTCAAATCTTTGTCATTGAAATCAGCTCCCCATATTTCAGATTCAGTTGTGTATAATTTATTAGAAATCTTTAGGCAGGGAGGGAAGAAAGGACATGTATGTCATATGTGTTCACCCCAACATCTATATCTATTTTTGGCACATGGAGATTTTTGATCACCCCTGTTTGCATAGAGCCAGATCTTCTCTTGTCCAGCTTCCCGCCCCCTCCACGAGTGTCTGCATCAGGGACATGACTTGGTGAGAAGAGTAAGGAGGGAAGAGGAAACCCTAATGTCTACATGGCCTCCTCACCTGGGTTACTGAAATGGCTGCAGAGCAGACACAGGACGACGTTGAACTTTTGGTCTCATTTGTGACAACGTGTGCAATTTTTTTTCCCTGTGCTACACTACATCCAAATCACCAAATTACAAGTTAACCTTTTGTGATCCTTGGTGTAATGAACAGTTTCTTTGGGGCTTTTCCTTTCTGGGAAGCAGGGAAAGGAGTGAGGCCTCATCCTGTTCTTCATTTGTATTTTGGTCCCAAGATGTAAATACAATTTTCTATGTTACTTTTTTGTGGTAACTACCAAGATGAATATTTTAATTAGATAAGTTATATGAAAAGGAAGGAAAATTCCATGTCTAAATAAAAAAACAAACGAAAAGCCCCACGTGCTGTCATCTTCCTTCCTTCCTTCCCTCCCTCCTTCCCCCTTTATTGTATGACAGAATGGAAGCTGGTCACAGACTACTTCCTGGACTGTGAGGCAGAAACCTCAATCCATGGGTTAAGCTTTGAAGATGTTAGAATTCTGTCTGTGGCCCAGCAGGACCAGGAAGAGGGAATTCAGGGGGAAAGAACCCAGTGGCCAGGGAGGAAACTCACATGTAATGAGCACACACATACTGGGGACCAGACACTGTGTCTTGTTAAACACTCAGAGCCCTGCGACTGCTACCATTTTCTAACTACCTTATAGTTCAAAACTGAGGTTCAGAGGGTAATAACGTAGCCAAAGCCACATAGCTAGTAAGTGGCAAAAGAAAGGATTTGAAACCCAGATTGTGTGTGGCTGCACAGGTGTGTCACTCTACCTTTCAGTCTCCTGGGGGATGGGAAAGGCCCAGGCAAGTCTCTGTCTTGCAGTAGTGTCTTAACGAGGACATAAGGAACATTAATGGGAAGGTCAGGGCAGCAAGGACTTAAGCTAAGAATCTGCTGTGTTGGCCCTAGCTGAGCTGTGGGCCTTTCAGCATTTGCTAATGGAGTCAAAGGCTTGGCTTCAACCCCCACATAGAATAAACGCACTGGACACGAAGTCAAACCTATGACATCTAAAGGTGACGTGGTTTCATTAACCCCATTTCTTTCTTGTAATGGATTGAATTGTGTGTCCCAAAAATTTATGTTGAAGTCTTACCCCTGGTACCTGGAAACGTGACCTTGTTTGGAAATGGGTTCTTTAAAGATGTTAACAGGAGGTCGTGCTGGAGTAGGGTAGGTCCTAATCCAGTCTTAGTGCTGGCCTATAAAAGACACAGAGACAAGGAGCAAATGGCCATGTTAGGATGGAGCTGACATGGATGCAGCTGCAAGCCAGGGAAATGTCTAGTGCTGCCAGAAGCTGAAAAATTAGAAAGGATCTTCTCGTAGAGCCTTCAGAGAGAGCATAGCCCTGGTGATACCCTGAATTCAGACTTGTAGCCTCCAGAACTGTCAGATACAAATTTTCATTCCTATAAGCCATCCAGTTTGTGCCCTATCCATTCTGACTCTTAGCAACCCTACAGGACAGAGTAGAACTGCCCATAAGGTTTCCATGGTTGTAATCCTTATGGAGGCAGATTGCCACATACTTTGCCCGCACAGCAGCTAGTGGGTTCAAACTGCTTAGTTAGCAGATGAGTGCTTAACCACTGCACCACCAGGCTCCTTATGGCAGGCCTAGGAAACTAATACGTCCCACTTCCCTCCTAAAGAAGGCATGCTTACTTGAACTGGGCTTATTTTTATCAATTCTTTTCAGAATCTAATTCTCACTATTAGAAATTGATATGCATTGAAGGTAATTATGGAATGTGATACCAGGTAGATGATTTTACTCAGAGTTTGCAATTAGGCCTTTGTCCATTTTGCATTAATTCAACATTTGCCAAAATAGAATCTGTATTAGACCCTGGGATATAAAGCAATGTACAGTTAAATCTGGAGCTCACAGTCAGGAGTAACTGATAAGGGATTCAAAAGAATTATATTTAGGTACCTTCAATGGACTGAGGGGAGCTCTGGTGGCGCAGTGCCTAAGGCAAACGACTGCCAACCAGAGGGCTGCCAGTTCAAACCCACCAGCTACTCCTTGGAAGGAAGGTTGGGCAATCTACTTCTGTAGAGATATCACCTCAGAAACCTAAAGAGGGGTCCCTATAAGTCGGGGAAAACATTGACCAAATTAAGGAAAACACAAGACCCTAGAAGAATTTCACAAGACAATACAAGAACAAAATGACAAAATACATGAAAAATTTGAAATAATACAAAATCTACAGATAAAAATTCAGAAGATTAATACTAAAACTTAAGAAATAGATAAGACATTGAATGGTCAAAGGAGTAGAATCCAATCAATGGAAGACAGAATTAGATTGAACACAAATACCTTAATACTATTTTGGTAAGAGATCAGTCAGAAAAAAAGATCAAAACAAAATGAAGAAAGCCTAAGATTCATGTGGGATACCATCAAGAAGAATAACCTCCATGTAATTGGAATTCTGGAACGGGAAGAGACAAAGCCACAGAGAAAATTGTCGAAGATTTGTTGGAAGAGGATTCCCTGATATGAAAGATAAAAATATATCCATTCAAGAAGTCCAATGAACCCGACAGACCCCAAAAGAAAATCACTAAGACAAATCATCATCTAACTCACTAAAACCAAAGACACACAATCCTGAAAGCAGCACGGGAAAAATGAAAAGTTACCTACAAAGGGTAACCAATAAGACTAAGCTCTGATTTCTTGGCAGAAACCATGCAGATGAGAAGGCAATGGGATGGTGGTATATATAAAACTCTTAAAAAAAATTAGACTAAGAATTATACACCGGGCAAAACTGTCCCTCAAATACGATAGGAAATTAGGACATTTCCAGATAAGCAGAAATTAGAGAATTTGTTAAAACAAAACCAACCTTACAAGAGATGCTAAAGGGAGTTCTTTGGACAGAGAACCAATAATGGCAAATAACAACCAACAGTTAACACACATGATGACATAATCCCAGACACCAACCCAGTTATGGAAGTATCCAAAGTAAAATAAGCTTACAAGATTGTAAACAGGAAACCAGAGACAGCAAGCGGTAAATGGGAACAACTATAATCCAAAAAGAAAAAGAGTGTAGTTACAGAACTTCTAAATGGTGATGAAGTCAAGACAATTGCAAGATAG